AGAGAGAGAGAGAGAGAGAGAGAGAGAGAGAGAGAGAGAGAGAGAGAAACGGTATGCCATGTGAATGCAGATCCCCTTGGAAGGTCCCCTTGCAGTCCAGAAAAAGGCACCTGGTCTCCTGTGGCTAGAGTTACAGGTTGTACAAGTCCTATAATGTGGGTGCTAATAATTTAATTTGGGTCCCCTGCAAAAGAAGCACATGTTTTTAACCTGTGAACTATCTCCCTAGCTGTCTTATTTAATAATAATCTCACTTAGAATTATATTTTATTTTATAGATTGTGCTGGGGAGGGGAACACACATGTCTCCCACAGTAAAGGAGAATGAACTCGGGACTCCCCATGCAATTCTATGATTCTGACTTTGAGCCTACAAACCCTACCTTGGACATTAGGATGTAGAGAGACTATCTTGTGTGTTGTATGGATGCATCACCTGTCAGTCAAAAAGCCTATGGCCTATGGCTTAGGCAGGAAATAGAAGGTGGGACATCCAGGAGAGAAAAAGGATTCTGGTATAGAACCAAGCAAGAGATTCTCTGGGAAGATGTGAGGAGATTAGCACAGGTAGCCAGCCACATGGCAGAATGTGGGTTAGATTAAATGGGATATCTTCAGTTATATCTCGTCAGAGAAGAGGCCAGCTACATGTCCAAGGTATTTGTAAATATATTTTGAGTCTGAGTCTTATTTCTGGGAGCACAGGTCTGGAAGGAAGAACCAGGGCCTGACTGTAAAATGATTTATTTAAAACCAAGCTCCTGAATCCAGTGACAGCAGGTAAACCTGCTTTGCTGCCAAGACTGAAAACTAAGTTCTGTCCTTGGAACGTGTATGGTAGAAGGAAAGAACTGACTCCAGCAAGTTGTCCCCTAACCATTTGTGTGCCATGGTACAAGTACACAGACACATGGCACACACACCCACATAATAGTAATAACACAATGTAATTAAAGACATTTAAAGGTTCCTGGACAGCCAGGGCTACACAGAGAAATCCTGTCGCAAAAAACAAACAAACAAGAGGTTTAAAGCTGACCTCCCTGACCCACTGGCAAAAGGTGAAATACCCTTCCCTGCCATGTCATACCTCAAATCCAGGTCCGGGTTACAATAGTGGCAGTAACACTGGAGAGGACAACAACAATGAAGGCACGGATGTGGAACAAAGAAAAACAAAATAAAAAATAAAAATCAAACAACACATGGGATTTACTTCCTGGGTTCCCCTGTCTCCCTCAGCCCTCAATCTCAATCCATGAGCAGCGTTCCTGCTAAGAGTCTAGCCTGTGGGTCAGATCCCTTTGGGAGTTGACAACTCTTTCACAGGGGTCACCTAAGACCACTGGAAAACATAGATGTTTATATTACAATTCATAACAGTAGTAAAATGAGTTATGAAATAGCAACAAAAATAATTTTGTGGTTGCAGGTGTCACCACAACATGAGGAACTGTGTTAAAGGGTCACAGCACTAGGAAGGTTGAGACCCACCGGTCTAGCAGACCTAGCAGGATTCTTCTTGTGTCTGCAACTCCCTACAGCTGGCCTGACCATCCTTGTCTCTCTGCTTCCTCTTGTATTCTGCTCCAAATTTACTCCACACTCAGTGCCCAGAGGCTTGATTTCACAACTCAGATGGGCTGGCCATGTGGCTCAGTTGGTACGGTGCTTGCTCAGCATGCATGAAGCCCTGGGTTGATCCCAAGCGCCCCCTAAAGATGTGGCTGTTCACACCCATAGAGCCAGCACTTAGGAGATAGAGGCTGAAAGGAGCTTCATCCTGGTCATCCAAGGTCATCCTAGCCTACGTTAGAGACCCTGTCTCAGAAACCAAACAGAAGAGGTGACTCAGCAGGCAGAGATGTGAAGACTTGGACCTTAAGACTCTCCTGAATATGCAGGGGAGAGAGAGGGAGGAGGATACAAAGTGGCGTTTCACAGGAAACAGAACTCTTGGTGGGGTGTGGCCTGGCTCTCATCCCATCTGTGGAGGTAGTTCAGTAACAAAGGCCACTTGTGCCCAAGCCCAGTAAGAATTCAGTCTCTGAGACTGAAGGAGGCAGTAATGCCAGTAAATCTGAGTAGTAAAACTAATACTGTATTGGATGTACTCACAAGCTTGCTTAGGAAATGCTAAGTAAGTTACACAAAGAATTTAGCTGAAGGAGAGCTGCTTCTGGTATGGCTGAGAGGTAAGTAGTGTGCTTCTCACCAGGCTGGTGCAGAATTTTCATTCCGTATCGTAATTAAAGTTGTTGAGAAACTTTCTATTTCTGTTTATTTGCCAGGACTGTTGGTCAATTAGGCTCCATTCCCATAACAAAAGAGGCAACCTAGACTTAAGAAACAGCAGCCCCACATCAAAGAATATGCATCTGAGAGGCAGCTCAAGGGGACAGCACAAGGTCACAACCATTATAGAATCCCGGTCGGCCTTAAGGCCTCTGTGCTCCTATTAGTAAAACCGTAATTCTACCAGGTGGGTAGGATCACCCTGGGTAACAACCATTTGAAGAAATCAACGCTAGTATACGTAAGACATAATTCTGGCAATATCTTAGCTGTGTACATCTCTCATCTGTCCAAGCAGCCAGAGTCACGGCCTCCAGTCTCCATTTACATTGTTCAAATCGTACCCTGGGGCTGGTACCATGTAAAATGCATACACTCAAGGTGTATATAAGTTAGTAACATCTCTTATCCGTGGCCAGCTCCTCTTTGGGCGTTAGCTAGAGCCGAACATGTGTACTTAGATTTTCCAAGTGTGTAGGTGGTTTCTCACTGAGGAGGCATATCAATTCTAGAACAGTAGAAGGAGAGACCTGGGTTCCGAAAGCTGTCCGATGACAGGCACAAGATTGTGCACAGACGCACGCGCGCACACATGCGCATGAGCGTGCGCTCCGGTGAGACCACTTCGCGGGACAGTCTCCCCCCGCCCACCTCCCCCTTCTGACAGCGCTGTGCAGACTCTCTTCTTCCATGATGCATCCTCCATCTCTCCCTTCGTACCCTGTCCCTCCCTCTCGTCAACCTCTCCCTCCATAGATAGACAGGCTCCCTCCTCACCCAGTCTCCTTTATTGTAGGTCACGAAGAAGAACGTCATCACCATGTAGGCACACCTCAGAAAGTTCCAGCCGCTGCTCCTCACAAGTCCCCTGGCTGTAGTGGTGGCCGGAGAAGGCTTCACTAAAGGCAAATGCTGACAATGATTAATAATACCCAGAAACTCCTTTCCCCTTTGGCACTCCAAACGTGTGCCCCTAGGTGTCTCCTGGGTTGGAAGTTTTATTTATAATTGAGGTTGTGGCCATTTTCTCCCATCTTGGTAATCTCTCAGCTTCCAGGCAAACTGTTTGCTCTTTTGAGAGTCTAACCTGTACTCTGAAAAACAAAACAAGAATAAAAACAAAAACAAACACCCCCCCAAAAAGAATCCCCTAAAAGCAACAACAAAAACCCTGTCAGCAAGCCACCTGTAGCTCTGAGGGAACCTTACTAATTTTCCTCCATTTGTCCTTTGGCTGTTTGATTTGGTTCGGTTTCTTGAAACAGGATCCCACATACCTCCAGCTGGCTTCAAACTTCCTATGTAGCTAAGGATGACCTTTTGATCCTCCTGTCTCACCTCCCAAGGGCTGGGATCGCAGGCATGCAACTTCAATTCCATCTTACTAATTGTTTCTGCCGCTCTCTGTGTGCATTGTACATATGTATGTGTTCTGTGTGTGCATGCACACACACACATGCATGTCAGTTCCTTCATCAGTTCCTCTCCATCTTATTTTTTTATTACATTTTATTTATTCTATCTTTTTTTCCGTTTGGGTTGTTGTTGTTTGTTTTCTGAGACAGAGTCTCTCTCACCAAACCTGGAGCTCACCAATTTGGCTAGGCTGGCTAAACTGAATTCCACAGGACACCTTGCAGGCGTTCTCTCTTTCCTTCATATGGATTTTGGGGATCAAACTCAGGTCATCAAGTTTGTCAGTAAGCACTTCTACCTGCTAAGACATCTTGCCTACACCACAATTTTAATATTCTTTATTTATTTTAAAGACGTATGTGGTGGTTTGAATGAGAATGGCCCCCATAGGCTCATAGGTTTGAATACTTGGCTTCTACAGTCCCTAGAATGTTTGGAAAGGATGGGAGGTGTGGCCTTGTTGGAGAAGGAATCTCACTGAGGGTGGGCTTTAAGGTTTAAAAAGTCCACACCAATCCCAGAGAACAATCCTGTGCTCTCTGTCTCTCTGTGTGTATCTCTTTCTTTGTCCCTGCGTGTCTCTCTCTGTGTGTCTCTGTGTCTGTTTCTCTCTGTGTGTGTCTGTCTTTTTCTGTGTCTCTCTCTGTGTGTCTGTCTCCCCATCTCTCTGTGTCTCTCTGTGTGTCTGTCTGTCTTGTAAATTCTTATCTATGGCTCCAGTGTCATACCTGCCTGCCTGCCATGTTACACCTGTCTGTCACTGTGCTTCGCACCATAACGGTCATGGACTCATCCTCTGAAACCGTAAGGAAACCAACCAATTAAATGCTTTCTTTTATAAGTTGCCTTGGTGGTGGTATCTCATCACAGCAACAGGAAAAGTGACTAAGACAATGAATTTCATTGTGTGGGCGTGCATGGTCTCTGCACAAGTGTGTGCGTGCCACACATGCGGTGGTCACAGGGCAACTTTGTAGAGTCAGGTTTGTTCCCCCACTTTTACATAGGTTCCGACTGAACCATTCCAAAACCACTTTTAACCATGGAACTGTCTAGTGGGCCCCAGTTTCCTTTCTATCAGGTGGCTGTGGGGTTCTCAGAACCTCCTAAAACATGGTGCTTGGTGGTTCTTTTAAACAACATACAAATCCCAGGAGTTGGTTCTCTTCCTCCACTGGGGATTAAGTTCATGCCCTCAGGCTTGGAGGGAAGAATCTTCACCTTCTCAGCCTTCTCTCCAACCCAGGAACTCAACTCTAAGTTGCAGCTGCATATTCTTAGTTCTAGAACTGTAATGCTTGTTATAAATTATAGTTCCTAGAGACATTACTAACAGCTCTAGGGTTTTTTGTTTGTTAAAAAACAAAAACATGTTTTTGAGACAAGGTCTTATGGAGCCTAGTGGCCTCCAACTGCCTACATAGCCTAGGCTAGCCTTGATCTTTTCTCTACCTCCTAAATCAGCAGTTTTCAATCTGTGGGGTCATGACCCCAGGGTCGAACGACCCTTTTGCAGGAATCATCAGAGACCCTCAGAAAACACAGATTCCTAACACTAGGAAAGTTATAGTTATAGAGTGGCAATGAAAACAATTTTATGGTTGGGGAATCTCCACAACATGAGGAACTATATTAAAGTGTTCCAGCATTAGGAAGGTTGAGAGTCACCGTTCTAAGTGCTGCATTCCCAGTGGTTTGTTGTTATTGTTGCTGTTCATTTTTGTTTTATCTTGTTTTTGAGATCGAGTCTCACTATCCTAAGCTGGCCTTGAATTGGCTACTCAGTCCAATCCAGCCTGTAACCTGAGATTCCCCTACCTCTGTGTCCATGCTGGCTTCTGATAACGACACCTGGCAGTCTTACCTACCTTTCCTGATGTTATTTCTCTGTTTTGTGTTTTGAACAGGGGTCTCACGAAATCAAAACAAGCCTTGGACCTTCATCAGATGCCCATGTTGCCCTTGAACTTCTGATCTTCCTGAGTGCTAGGGTTACAGGTGTGAGGCACCGTTCCCATTGCGCATGGCCCTAGGGACCAGACCCTGGTCTTTGTGCTTCCTAGGCATGCACTCTGCCAGTCGCACTGGGCATCTTAATCCAAGATCCTTTAACAGGAGTGAACCACCATCACTGGCAGGCTTGTTTCCTTCTCAGTTTCCAGCCACATGTGCCTGCCACGCAACTTAACCCAGGCATTTCCAGAAGTGAGGATGGGGGAGTCTAGAGGTCGGCGGAAGCAGAATGCCACTTCTTACCTCAGTGTGCCAGGCACCTTGGCTCAGAGGAGCCGAGTGGAAGGGAGAGGGTGGCTGGGGCCCATGGCTGCACCCAGAAGCCTCAGGTGCGCTGACACATCTGTCTGACTTTTTCTCCGATACTACATTTTACCTCACTCAGAGAGGAGGTGCTAACGGCATGCCCACACCTCAGGAGGGATTGAGTACACACCCACCTTCTTCTTTGCAGTCACTTGTTTCTTCTAAGGAGGAAAAACATGGAGAGAGTAGAGGAGGGGAGGAAAGAGAGAAAGAAGGAGAAAAGGTGAAAGGGAAGAAAAATAAAGGAAAATTAGGGAATGGGTGGAAATCCAGCTGCAAATGGTGCTTCTGGGCCACATTGGTGAAAGGGGGACTTTCATCTGTTTAATGTCACTTGACTCAGGCTCTCTACTGTCACTTGGCTATTCCTCTTTGTGAAGTGTCTTCTGCTCTCCTTGCCCCATAGGACAACACTGTTCTTCAGAGTCTGAGCCTGCTTCTTGACCACCTCATTCTCCTCTCATCAGAATACCAGCTGTATTAGTTTGTCTGGTTTTGTTTTTAAGATTACATTTCTTTATTTGGTGTATGTGTGTGGCGTGTGTGTGAGTGTGTGTGTGTTGGTATGTGTGTGTACGGTGGGGTGTGTTTGTGTATGGGTAATGGTGGTGGTAGTCAGGGGGTATTTGTGTGTATGTGTGGTGTATGTGTGTGTGTGTGTGTGTGTGTGTTGTGTATGTGTGTTGTATATGGTGTGTGGTGGTGGGGTATGTGTGTATGTGTGTGTATGTGTAGTAGTGGTGTGTGTGTGTGGTGTATGTGTGTCATGGATTTGTATGCCAGAGTACACATGGAGGTCAGAGCATGACTAATGATAGTCCATCCATTCCCGACACTACTTGCAGCCCAGGGATTAAACCCAGATCATCAGCCTTGGCAAGAAGTGCGTTTTTCTCACTGAGCCATTTCTCCAGCTGTTTGTTTGTTTGTGACAGGGTCTCAAGTAGTTCAGGCTGCCCTTGAACTTCTGATCCTTCTGTGACGACTCCGGAGTACTGGCACTGCAGGTCTGTACCACCTCACTCAGCTTGTCAGCTGCACCTGGTACACACTGGATCTATCCTATTCCCCTTCTCTCTCAACATCTAGAAGACGACTCGGCACAGCGAGTGGAACGTGAAGTTGTCTGTTGCTTGAATGTATGATGTCATGTGGTTGTGCTGCTAATGATGGTAGAGTTGAGGTATGTGGGGTTCGGTGACGTCTCTTCCAACCCGAAAAGCTAATACCTCTGTATATCCCAAACCAACCAGAAATGATGAAGCCACCAACTCACCGCTTAGCACTTGGAGGCTCAGTAGACCTAAGACGATAGAGAAAAACAAGTAGAATCACAAAGGAAGCCAGACAGAACCCAGGTCAGCAGGGCTCACAGGCTCACCCCAAACCTGTCTCCTAATGAGCTCTGTGAAATTCTGGCCCACTTGCCTGCATGCATGTATGCCTATGTATGCCTGTCTCCTTGCTTACTCCTCCCTCCCTCCCTCCCTCCCTCCCTCTCTTTCTTTTGATAGAGGAGAAACTGGGAATAATACCTTCATGTTACAGAGGATCTACTAAACTTGCTTATGAAATATTAAACACACAAAGGAGAATTAGTTAAAGGAGCTCTCTGATTCGCTTATCGAGAGGAGGGCGATTTTGTCAGGCTGCAACAGGACAACCTTGGGTGACAAACGCATGGTAAAGCAGCCCTCATCTGTCTCAGGGTAAAACCGACAATATTTTATTCTGTAACTCCCTGCATCTGTCCAAAGAATCAGAGCTTGGCTTTTCTGTCTCTGTAAAACATGTTTAATTGTTCAAAATGTAACCTGGTCCGTGAAACTATAGAAGACAGGATGTTCTGTTCAGAGCTGGTTCCCTTCTGTGCATTAGCCAGAACTACTCAGGCTCATTAAAGAGTTTTCCCTTATTAAATTCTAAGTGGTATAGCAATTTCTCACTGGGAAGACTTCCCAAGTCTATAGTCTTTAACACATTCTATTTGGGTCTCACTGAGGTTCTGGCTGACCTGGAACTTGCTATGTATCCCAGACTGGCCTCAAACTCACAGAGCTCTCCCTTCCTTTGCCTCTGAGATTAAAGGTGTGTATTATTATGTCCAGTCCTGCCCCATCTCTTATCACCAGTGCCGTCACCATCATCATGATGTGTGTGTATGTGTTTACCCATGTGATTATGGGCACAAGCATATCATAGCAAGCATTGGAGGTCAGAGGACAAACTTGCAGGAGTCAGTTCTCTCCTTCTACCATGTAGGACCTGGGGATCGAACTTAGGCCGCCAGGCTTAGCAAGAAGAGCCTTTACATGCTGAAGCATCCCGCTACTTTCCCTCTCTCTCTCTCTCTCTCTCTCTCTCTCTCTCTCTCTCTCTCTCTCTCTGTGTGTGTGTGTGTGTGTGTGTGTATGGTGTTTCTGCGATGTATACAGGCATGCATGCATGCAGGCCAGAGGTCAATCCCAGTTGTCATTTTTCAGGGGCTATTCATCTTATTTTTAGAAACAGAGTGTCTAACCATTGGCCTTGAGCTCACCAAGTAGGCTATGCTAGCAGGCCAGTGAGCCCGGAGATCCACCATGCTTCCCTAGCACTGGGGCTATTGGTGTGTACTGCCACTCCCACTGTATATTCTGGTGATTGAAGTCAGGCCCTGGATGTCCAGAGAGCCCTGAGCCCATCGGTGACATGTCTCAGGTCCCTGTCTTCCCATACACTCTGGCACACACGGTGACAGAAAGAAGCTTGTCACACAAGTCCAGGGTCCACACAGAATGAGGTGCTTACCAAGGATCCCTGTGGTCCATCCAGGAGACAGGGGATTTCCATGAGTCCATGAGAGATGAGACCACAGGAGGGAGAAATAAATCACATTAGATGGTGGGAGATGGGGACCAAATGAGCTCAGAACCCAGGACAGCGGGCCTCAGAGCAGGGCTGGAGAGGACCCAGGACAGCGGGCCTCAGAG